TGGTTCCTCCCTCCTTCAGGTCTTTGTGGATACTGTGGGACCAGCAGAGAAGTACCAGGAAAAACTCAAGCAGCACTTCCCAGACCTGGAGGTTACAGTGAAACCAAAAGCAGACTCCCTCTTCCCTGTTGTCAGTGCAGCCAGCATCTGTGCCAAGGTGAATGTGAGACATAGGATATCTTTGTTTCCTGGCTCACTGTGCTCTCTGGTATCTGGAGAGATGTACGGTTAAACTGTGAAGCTCAAACCGCTTCCACTGTGAAACAGCTAATTAAGCTTTCATGTGCTGGAGCAGAATACTGGGTGCTGGGGCCAAACAATGGGGGGTGACTATTGCCATCATTCATTAGGGCAGGGGCTGGCTACTATTCGAGACCACTAGGCTAGATGGATCAGGACATAGATGGGAATGATGCAGGAAGGGAATTCCGATGTTGGTTATCTCTCATTTTCCGCAGGTGGCGAGGGACCGGGTAGTAAAGAACTGGAGGTTCTTGGAGGATCTGGAAGATGCGGACTTGGATTATGGCTCTGGCTATCCTAATGGTAATCTCAGTATTTCTCCTCAGCTTGGGCACAGAACCAGCCACATGAATTTGCCACCACAAGATGCGGTGGCCTCTAGCTTAGGTGGATTTAAAAGAAGATGAACACATGGATGAGAGGGTAGTCAAAATCAGAGGGACCTGCAACAAAATGTCAAGGGTGCCAGCCTGCCAGACCCTTTGGCAGGATACTCTCATTCGCCCTCTTTCCTTTTTCCTGGTTTTCTGTCCCCCTCCTCCCACAACAGTTGGCATTTTGTGTCCCTTGATCATTTTCAGTTCTCACGGATCTGTTTCTGGTTCCCCTCACCCCCAGTTAGGTTTCTTTCCCCCCCTAGTTATTGCTTGTACTTGGGGGTGCCCCCAAGCCACCGTCTTCCATTCTTTCCTGCACATGGATGGTGCTGTTTTTCTGAATAAGGTGTCACACCTTGATAACGTCTTAACTATTAGCATATAGGATGGAAATAGGCAAACTCCAGGTCGTAAGGCAATATGTCAGCTGCTGAGGATAACACTGGAAGAGGGCTGTCGCCTTAATGTGGGAAACAAAAGGGTAGGCAGGATGGACCTTTGGCTGTTGCGTTTCTGTGGAGGCACACAAAGAGTGCAGTGCTTCATTCAGATGAATAAGCCAAGTCATTACTTTGGCAGTGACTAAGACCCACATTTATTATTTGTGAATGTTCTTCCCCACTCTCATCTTTGAATTACACATTGAGTTTACTTGGCAACAATGTGGGCTTTTCCCGGCCCTCACTAGATGCCATTAGCTGTCCTAGATCCTCTACAGTATAGTATAGAGTCTATACCTCCCATCTCCCCTCTCTTAGGGTGAGTAGGACCTTCTTGGCTCTTGTGCTTGGGTTGACCTCTAGGACAGAATGCCATGTCCTTGCATTAAGTTGAAATGTGTGTGTGTATGTGTAAAATGACCTCTAAGATATTACACACTGAGAAAGCAGCAGAGTTGGTGGAGACAATACCGTACTTAGGAGGTTTGCAAACCCCTATTGTGTCATGTTTCCCATCCACTGTTCTCCAGGCTACGGCTCAGTCTTAGAAGTAGGGATAATACTGAGCACTAATATGCCAGGATACTTGGCCACCCATCCTCTAATATCTCTACTCCTTCCCTGGCCCAGATCCTAAGACTAAAGAGTGGCTCACCCAAAATCTGGACCCTGTCTTTGGCTACCCACAGTTTGTACGGTTCAGCTGGAGTACAGCTCAGGTCATCTTGGAGAGCAAAGCTGTGCCCGTTTGCTGGTAAGTGGGGACGGAAGAACTGTTGGCTGGATCTTGGACTGGTAGATGTACCTTCAGAAGGGAGATTGAGGAAACTGGAGCATAGGAGGAAGCACCTGCTGCTGCAGATAAGGGCATGTGAGAGATTCCTTCAGATGGTTTAGCACATACGATGTAGCATGATGACTTCCCTACACAAATATTATATAGGAAGATAGTGGATTGGCAGTCCAGGATGCTTTTTAAATAGTGGCACTGGGGAGGGCAATCGTTGGAGTTGAATGGACCTGCTGAGTGTTTGTGGGACTCTTTCCCTTAAATTCATTTATAAGCTGTGAGCAAGGAGGGTCCCCCCCTTTTGTGGCTGGCTTGCTCTGCTAATTCCCCTGTGCCTTGCTCTGTGCTTATGTGGGCCATGCAGAGTACTGCACAGAGTTGCTGAATTGCTGATGCCCAAAGATGCTTGTGACTGCCTTCCCTGATATCCACAGCTTTCTGGAACCCAGCTCAATCCAGGGAGCAGCTCCTCCGCTTGAGTCCAGGGAGTTGGCTGAATCTCCGCTGCCTCCCATCTCAGGCTGACCTTGGCAGTCATGCCAAATGCCGCAGGAGGAGCTTGAGAGGCAGCCAGTTAACTTTCCCCTGGATAGATGGGGCAGGAATCCGGTACTGTCTCTTTTGAGGGAAGAAGGGCTGCCTGCCAGGGCACCTGTTTTCTATCTCAGCTCTTGGAAGGCAGCGAAGGTCAGTGGTTGTAGCAGGTAGAAGAAGTCTGAATCCAAGATAAGTGGGCGCAACTCTCAAGGAGAAGGAGAAGTCGAGCATAGCTTGCCAGCGGAGGAACAATCCCTCATTCCTCCCTATCTTTTACCTTCCTCTCTACAGGGATGACACGGAAGACGACGCAGCCCAGAAAAACGCTCAGTCCTTGCTTAGCTACTTTGCCAGGAAGGAAACTTCCAGCAAGCGCCCTCCCCACCGTTTCTTTCATGAACGAAAGCTTAAGACCGTGACCAGCCTGTAGGGGGGCAGCAGATTATTCCCTTCCTGGTGGGATTACCTTGCTTTGTCTACACAAGAAACTTTTCTAATTTTGTCAAGCTTGTTTTTTAGTCGGAGGTTGTAAATCCTTTTGAGTCCCAGCTGCTAAGGGAACATTGGAGCAGAAGCAGGTGCAGGATCTGTCAAGAGAAAGGGTCTGATCCAGTTCCTCTCTTTCTGGAAGCATTTGTATATTCCTCCGCCCCCCCTAATAAATTTAAAACAACAACAACCAACAATTCTGTGGTGTGTGAAGTGACCGATGGGGCATCATAAAAGCAGGCCAAAAAGGGATACTGTCTGCAACTGAAGGGTTACCTTTTTTTAGTGAGTTGGGAGCTTGAGTAATGAACAGAGCCAGGCAAAATCTCCCCCACACCAACCTGAGCTCCTGGCTGAGCCAGAGAACTTCTTATCTACTCCAGTGTGGCAATCCTAGTGAATTTCAGTAGCTGGAGAAATCAAGCCAGGTAGGGAAGCAGTTCTGTGCTGTTGCCATGGAATGGGCTCTAGTCCTGTCCACATGTGTATCTGCACATTTCAGACTGGTCTGGAGCTTTCATTAAGGTGCTGTCAGTAATGCATCCACACATCAGGATTTTCTGTTGTTCCCATTCACTTCAGTCCATTCTGCCCAGTGCCCTCAGTGTTCCACCTTTAGCTGCAAGTGTTTCTCGTGTGTCGGGAAGAAATGGGGGTGGGAGAATTTTTTCACCTTTAGGGCAGGACTAGATGGGTGGCGCTGTGGGTAAAAGCCTCAGCGCCTAGGGCTTGCCGATCGAAAGGTCGGCGGTTCGAATCCCCGCGGCGGGGTGCGCTCCCGTTGCTCGGTCCCAGCGCCTGCCAACCTAGCAGTTCAAAAGCACCCCCCGGGTGCAAGTAGATAAATAGGGACCGCTTTCTAGCGGGAAGGTAAATGGCGTTTCCGTGTGCGGCTCTGGCTCGCCAGAGCAGCGATGTCACGCTGGCCACGTGACCCGGAAGTGTCTCCGGACAGCGCTGGCCCCCGGCCTCTTGAGTGAGATGGGCGCACAACCCTAGAGTCTGGCAAGACTGGCCTGTACGGGCAGGGGTACCTTTACCTTTACCTTTAGATGGTTAAATAGCAATCTGGTGCACAAATGTAGTGGCTGAGAGAGTGAGGGTCCTGGAAAATCCCTGACTGAAATCTCTCTTCAGTCATTAACTTTTCAGTTGGCCTCTCAGCCAGTCCTTTATCTATACTGTGGGAATTATATTTACGGTACCTACTTTCTTCATTGATGCAAAGATTACTGAGAGACTACGTGTGAGACATTTGGAATAACCAAAAGGATAATAATAAATGTAAAACTTCGCAGTTGCTGTTGCTTGACAGAGGGATGAAGCAGCCACTGTGGAGGAGAGTCTTATTTCTTTTAGCAAATCCTTTTAACAAAGTTAGCTCTCTCTCTCTCTCAGCTGTGCCCCTCCTCTGGCTCTCATGCCCCTTCTCATTTGCTCATGCTGCTTTATAGTCCGCTCCAACTCCATCCATCTCTCTCCCATCTTCCTGCCTAATGTAGCTTGCTCTCTTAAGAAGAGCCTCTCCCCTCTTATCAAGCCAATTTCCTTTTCCTTCAAGATCTTCCTCAAGAAATGCTTCTTTACCAATCCCTCTCCTGAACCAGCTCAGCATTACCTTACCTGCTTTTCCACTATCCCATCCTCATCTAACAGACTCCCCACCACACCTGTCCTTTGGGCCAGGTCACTTTTGCTTCAGCACTGTTTAACAGTGTTAGATGGTTGTTTGGTAAGCAGCACTCAATAAGGCTAATTGTACTTTTATAATAAAATCCTGAATCAAGGAAGGGTTCAAATGGAACAGTGCCTAAAGAGGTCTCTTGTTTTAGAGAAAGCAAGCTAGCGGTCCTCACTGATCACAAGTATTGTCTTGCGATTTGGCAACTAACACCCATAATACCATGTACATAATACTCTAAACACAAACCAAACAAGTAAATCAGGCAGCTTGAGCCATTAACAGAAAATTTCTGTCTAAGTGGACTCTCTCCCTTTTCATCTAAGTTCATTTTGCCATTCAGCCCGACGTGTCGAAAGCTAAGAAAGGAACTGTTCTTTGAGGATACCTACTGGGGTTCCCCCCCACCACAGAATCTTTCCACAAATACTGACCCACGCAAGTCGTTTTTGTTGTTTAATTTCTCCACAAGTAATAGGTTTGAAGCAATACATAGTGTGCAATTTGCAACAAAGATGGACAAGGGTGAACAAGCAAGAGCATGAAAAGGCAGCTGATAAAGCAGTGCATGTTTGTGACACGAGATCTGTTTTGGACAGAAGGTGGACAATATTATAAAGGAAGTTTGCACATGGTAATACAGGGCTTGATGTGGTGAAATTCAAGGAGTGCTGCATAAGATACGGAGGAGACGAGTAAGAACCGGCTGTTAACCAGAAGGTTGGTGGTTTGAGCCCCCCCAGGGACGGCTGAGGGTTGGATTCCTGCACTGAATTCTAAGATTTTAACTCCAGGGATTTTACTATTCTGTCCACTCACCCACTCAAGATGAGATGCCATTTTCTTTTTTTGCTTCAAAAACTACTTTTCTGCCTAGGACAAACTAGTACATGGCACAGACCAGTTCAGACTGGAGGCTCTGTATATTTTTAAAATGGATGTTTTAAACTTTTCCATGATACACACATTGAATTATTAAAATAACCAATCTAAATCTAGCCACATCAGTGGCACAATCTCTTTCTCCTCCCCCTTCTGTGTTTGGTTGTATACAAATTTAAGCTAACTATGGAGCACTGGCCATTTTAATACTGCAGCAGCAGCTACTGGTTTACAAAGATCTTCAGTTTCCTTGCTACAGAACTGTGACCAGCCTTTTAACTCTCAGATCCTACTTCCTAGGTAGTGATTTTTTCTACTGCCTGTGTCAAGCGCAAACAGCGAAGGCTATTTCATTTTGGCTCAGTTCTACAGGCAAACATACCTAAAGCCTTATTATTAGTAGCTGGGCTTATAAGTCAGTGCAGAATGATCTCATTAACTTTATTTATTCTTAGTCTATGCAACCTCTCTCTCAGGCCAGAGCCTTTGAAAGACAGACATCGCTCACTCCCCCATAGTGCTAGAGGAGACTCTGGTTGAGGACCACTGGGGGTGGGGTGGGAATGGGTGTTTCAGTCATTGGAAGGGAAGGCAGGGTGTTGAGAGTGAAGAAACCATTGACTGCTCTCCAACCCTGCTGTTCTAGATGGTTGTGGGTTCAAGCCCCACATTGGGCAAATGATTCCTGCATCGCAGGGGGTTGGACTAGATGACCCTCGTGGTCCCTTCCAAAACTACAATTTTATTATTTTATGTACAAGATGTGTGTAGGCGAAACAGCGGCCATAAGCAGGCATACCGGGGGTAGAAGGTGGTGCTCTGGTGGGGTAAACTCTGCTTCTAGAGCATGGGGAATCAGAGTGCTCGGCTAAATAGCCACACCTGCTTCCTCTGCCACGGCCACACCCAGGTTGCACAGAGCTATACAAGATGGCAAGAAGCTGGTGACATGGGACATGAAGGATTTGCATAGATCACAAGCGATCCCCCCAAGCCTCAGAAAATCACAGGGGAGGGGGTTATTTTCCCCTGGGAGGCTGTCTGTCTCCAATCAGAACCCGCTCCCACTACCCTCCACGTCTTCCATGAAGACCGAGCGCTTCTGCATGTTTCTCCGCAGGCGACGGAGCAGGGGGTTGCCTGGGCAGGGCCCTCCAGGGCTGGCGCGGCCTCTTTCAATGCCTTCCTTGGTGGTGTCTGGCTCCTCGATGCTGTCGCTGTCTTCAAGACGCAAATAAGAGGCAGAGAGGGCTGAGTCGGAGGCCGTCAGCGTCAGGCACTTGCAAGGATCAGTGCTGGCTACGAAGGAATCATCCCAGATGGTTTCGCAGAGCTCTTTGCCATCCTTGTACATCTGAGGGGAAGAGAGAGGTGGGGAGCTGTGAATGTGAAGCGCTCTTGCTCTGCACAGCCTCAGTGCTGAAATTAAGGCTTGAACAACACTCCATCATCATCATCATAGTAATAATTTATTATTTATACCCCGCCCATCTGGCTGGGTGTCCCCAGCCACTCTGGGCAGCTCCCAACAGAACACCAATAACAATAATAAAAAAAACAACATCAAACATTAAAAACTTCCCTAAACAGGGCTGCCTTCAGATGTCTTCTAAAAGTCATATAGTTGTTTACTGTACAGTGGTACCTCGGGTTATGAACTTAATTCATTCCAGAGGTCCATTCTTAACCCGAAACCATTCTTAACATGAGGTGCACTTTCACTAATTGGGCCTCCTGCTGCCGCCATGCCGCTGGCACGCAATTTCCGTTCTCATCCTGGGGCAAAGTTCACAACCCGAGGTAACTACTTCCGGGTTAGCGGAGTTTGAAACCCAAAGCATTTGTAACCTGAGGTACCACTGTATTTCCTTGGCATCTGAAGGGAGGGTGTTTCACAGGGCGGGCGCCACTACCAAGAAGCCCCTTTGTCTGGTTCACTGTAGCTTCACTTCTCGCAGTGAGGGAACCACCATAAAGCCCTTGGAGCTGGACCTCAGTTTCCGGGCCGGACGATGGGGGTGGAGACGCTCCTTCAGGTATACTGGGCCGAGGCAGAGGGATGTCAAGAGACTTTTAGCAGGGGTGGCTGTGTCTTTATGAGCAGAAGGGTAGAGTACCATCCAAACAAACCAATCTGGGGTGAGGGCAGGGGCAGATCTACTAGGAAACCAATGAAGCTTAAGGACCCTTCATCCCGGAGGGACCCCAGAAGCAACTTCAGTCCACACTGCTTAAACATTTTGGGTCTAGTAGACCCAATTTGAGTCACATGACTCAAATTGATTAGTTTTTTGTTGCCTATATTTCAACCATCCCACAAAGACATTGTAAAGGTGTGGCGATCTGTTGTAGAACAACCCCATTGAAAAACAGAATACTGGGCAAGGGGGTGGGTGGGAAGAGAAGAAGGAGCAGCACAATATGAAAGACAAATGCATTACCTTGTTTTGCTTTAGTTTTCCAAACTAATCTGTCACTCAGCAGACTCAAGATACCCAAAGTAGGTGAGAGACTGTTGTTGGAACTTCCAGCGCCCATGAACCCTGACCATTGGCCATGCTGGCTAGGGCTGGAGGAAGCCGAAGACAGACAACATTTTGAGGGGCTTGCAGCGGAGTGAGTTTCTTGATGACTTGAGCTGTGTCACCAGCACAGTCCCTCCCGCATGGGGTGAGAGGGGCTTGCTTCATAGAATCCCGGCTGCCTGTTAGCTCCTGCCTCTCCCAAAAGACCAACACAATTGCTACCACATGGCAGAAAGGGAGACTAACTGGGCCTGCTGCTTGCTTATGCCATTTGAGGCTTGATTTCTAAACAAGAACTTCGTCAGGATATCATGCTCAAGGCCTTGTACACCATTCCCCCTATCCTTTGATGCTTTGAGATAATGGTTGATATCCTTCTGTGGGGATACAATTGCGTTCTGTGCATGATTAGATGCACTATTTTGCTTTCTAAAATACTGTAAAAAAACTCAGTTTGGGGAGAGAGTGGGTCACAAATGACAGCTCCACCAATTCAAAAGGGCAGCAGCCACCACACATTACTAGCAATCCTGTCTGTCATCCTTGTTGGGCAAACACTGCAGGGGAAGAAGGGGCGAGCTGTATGGTGCTGACGTTATTACACTGTCAGTCATATACTGCCCATTTCTTCTGACAGGCATCCTGCCAAGTTGTTGCTCTCTGCCTGCCTGCCTGCCTGCCTGCCTGTCACTGGACACAAACTCTGCTAGCTGCCTGAAGGTTCAACTGACTGTTTCAGTGCAAGACGACCAGCAGTCAGCAGAAATTAGCTTCACCTCCAGTGGAAAGGCTGAAACATGTCATGTAGAGTTAGAATATGAGGGGTTTCAATTTCTGCCGACCTTCGGGGTAGTGTACATAGGCGCCGACTCCATGGGGCTTGAGGGGGCCCGAGCCCCCTCAAAAATTCGTTTGGGGGGGCTCCGCCCCCCAATAATCTCCGGCGCCCCTCCAGCAGAGCGCCATCGCCGCCCCTCCCCCAGCCCAAAATGCACAGGGAGGGGCGGGCTGCATGCCTCCTGCCCTCCCTCCCGAGCAAAAGCTCCACCCAATTTCCTTTGGAGCTGATTAATAGGCGCAGCACGCTCTCCCCTATTTGCTCACGAGGAGGCGGCGCCACTTTATTTGCATATTCATGAGCTTATTTATTATTCATGAGCTTTCCCGGGCCCCCCCAATATTTTTTATAAGTCCGCGTCCCTGGTAGTGTAGCACCTGCCTTTTGAACTGCAGCTGGGATTTTGTGTGTGTGTGTGTGTGTGTGTGGTTTTTTTAAAGCAAGACACAGAAGAGGCTTCATTGACCAAGATCACCCCTTGGGTGCCCTGTACATCCAAGGAAAACCTTGGAGATGTTTCTGTTTTGTTAAACCTTGGAGATGTTGGAGCATTTACTATCGGATTGACCTTAAGACGTTTGAAGTCTCTGGCCTCTTGCTAACATTGAGAGTACAAACAGTTCCCTCCTCCAACAATTAGGCTTTTAGTCCTCATGATGAGAGATAAAGTTGGGTATTTGGGAAGCAGTGTGCTCTCTTGATGTCTGTCACCTGGTTTTAAGAGATGGGAGGAAACCCCTTGCCTATTCGCTAAGCTTGTGGGAAACAATTCCTCGTTGTGTAACTGGCAATACAGAGGTAGCTAGAAAGAAATATTAAAACCACTGATCTCTTCAGGCATTTTCTTTGTCTTTGACTTGCAGTTTCTGACACAGAATACTGGTGGCACAACAGTTTTTAAAAATGCCAAAGAGTATATCATTATGTCAGCATTTTTACTCATGGCTCCTACAATAGTTCTGAAAATGTCCCAGCCTAACATCAATTCAGATTACCATTCCTCTGTGGAACAGTGCTCCTTGAAAAGATGAACCATGAGTGAGTAGTCACATAAGCTAGGTCTATTTGTTTTAAGAGAAGAATACAAACCCCAACAACTTCCACCTAAAGTTGGAGGCGCTTTCACTTTTAAGCTTTTCCCCCTTGAAGAGTGGGAACCTTATTCTAAAAAGGCACCACAAGTTGAAATAAAGACCTTAAGTTGTTGACAAAGCCCTTTCACATAATTTATGTGATTTCAGGAATACTGAAAGACTTGGCTTGGTTTGTGCTGAAGCTGAGGCCTCCTGGGAATGGTGTAATTCCTCTTTCTCCTCCAACAATTGCTTTTCCCAAACATGACTCAGTACAGGAATCTCTTCATGACTCATGTGATTTCTGGGGCTGAGGGCTGCATCCATCTCGGGGCGTTTAGTGTCCTCACCTGGCCATACGACAGGCAGTCCTGGCTGCAGTTGTTTCCCTCAGGGCCCCAATGCCAGTCAGTAAGCCAGTTGCGAGCACACGTCAGGTCTTCCTTGCAAGCGTCATACCTGAGGTGACAAGAAGGTGTGGCAATAAGGAAAGCAGTTGAACTTTAATTGTTATTTTATCAGACCATTTTTATTATATCAGACCAGACCTTTTATTTTTGTTATATCAGACCTCCAAGGAGCTCAAGTTGGTGCACAAGGTCCACACACCATTTTGATCCTTATGACAGACAACCCTGTGAGGTATATTAGGCTGAATAACAATCCCCAGCTCAAAGTCACTCTGTTAGTTTCATGACTAAGTTTTATGGAGATATGAACCCAAGCTTCTCTATCTTTTTCAGTCCCAATGGTGGGTCAATACTCACTAAGCACTTCCTCCTTTAGCCCACCTTTACCCAATTCAACATTTTCTCAAGCTTTTTGCCAATAGAATTGCATACATTTATTTCCACCAGTCCACTGCCTGAGGCCCCAAAAATGGAAGTATGTTTGTGTTGGGTGGAGATGCCCTTTAAAAAGCTTATGGATTTCCCTCAATATCCAGGTTAGCTCCTGCACTTGACTCTGCTTCCCCACATCCAGCTGATTTATTCCAAAATTGAGCTGGGTGTGCCAAAAGCGAGATACAGGTGTCATAGATACAGTGTCCCCGAGCTTGTTGAATTTCGGTGGGGAAAATGACTTATAAAGGGCCTTTTAAGTGTAAAACAACAACAACCCAGTATGCCTTTCACTGCTTCTCTGTCTTAAAATGGCAGGGCATTTCATTTAAACAGGACACCAGCAATGTGATGACATTCTCCTCTTCTGCTATCTCCAGGAGACGATGCTCTTTCCCTGTTTCTTCATCCCCCACAGGGTCCCCTCCCTCCCCAAGGGGACTTCACTCACCATTGGTCACAGAAACTCTGGCAGAGGGGCACAGCCAGCACAGCTGTGGGGCGCTGAGGATGAGGCCACTGGGCAGCGATGGGGGAGCAACGGTAAAAACATTCCAGCTGCTGTAGATAGCCCTCACATCTGCATAGGAGAAAGAAGCACCAGGGCATAAAGATGGCGGAGCAGGCCTAAAATGGCAGGCAAAGGGCTACCCATGGGGGCGGGATTAATAAAAAAATGTGAAGAAAGGTCGTGCCAAGGAGCAGATCTTCCCCATCCCAGTTGTCTGGTAACTTCCAAGACTAGTTTTAGAAGGAACTCCCACCTCTTGGTAGGCCCAGCTTGCAAGAAAGGAAACACACACACACACACACACACACACACACACACGACTGGAGTAGGCGTGGCTGCCTCTCTGTCTGACCTGCTGCTAAGGCTCCCACAGCGGTTCCAGTAGATGTCATTGGCTTTGGAAAGGTCCTGGGTGACCTCCGGTGAGCAACAGGCATCTGTGGGGAAAGAAAACTTCTGTCAGCAGCCCCTTTCCTTTGTGCTGAGATGAACCAGTTGTTATTCCGGCAAACCTGCATGTTACAGTCTGATTGCAACAGCTGCAGGTATTGCCTAACAAGCTGGATGTATGCATATTGCCACCAGTCACCAGTGACGAGCCAATGCATACATAAATTCCCTAGCAGGTATTCTGGGCATGATAAGAACCCTATACTCCTATACCCAGGTCCCATTCCCCACCCGCTCCCTACACTCTCGGTGGCCTCTGTGTACAACCCTCCAAAGTTTCCCCCAGGCACCAGGGGTTGCCTCTGCTGAGTTCCTTTGCACCCTGTGCAAAGCAGTGCATGCTACTCACACACGTTAAATTTTGATCAGCCAGGGCTATGAGATCATTGCAGCCTCAAAATGAAATACAGTACATATTATTCTCACTAGCCTTCCTCTTTTCTTGAAAAACAACCGAGGCTGAAAATGTACAAGAAAGATCTGTTAACTTTTAAAAAGTGAATCTGTTTGTCTGGAGCGTTGCCCTCCTGAGATACAGTCCTGAACCAAGAGAAAGTCCAGTTCCTGGACTCTGCAGTGAAAGATTTGAGGAACATGAAGTTGAAGGGCCATCATGTGGCTCTTTTGCTCAGCAGAGTCAAATTCTGCCCGGTAGCAGTATTCCCAAGATTTCTGAGGTAAAAAATTGATGGTCCATATCAAATGTGTTTGCATGGACATTTTTGTTATATAGTAAAATAATCATACAACATTGATTTCCTTGAACATAGTTAGCTGGGGGCTGCTGTTTCAGCTTTCTTCATGTATTTTTGTGATTGATCGATAGCACTATATTATGCAAAATATGACCTTATTAGTACAAGACAAAATATCAAGCTGGTAAATTCCTATACTAAATTAAAGCAAGACCACCCTTTATAGGACAATATAAAGGTTAACTCAATTTCCCTTGTCTGAGATTGTGTGTTTTTTAAAAGAAAAATAAAAGAATCCCATGTGGAATAAAATGCCACTGAATCAATGGGTCAAACTCTCCCATTATATGTTTAGATGCAGCTATTAGTATAGGGCTAGGGGCAAGGCTAACTAGACCACTCATTCACTGTTAGAGGAAGTGGTGACACTGTGTCAGGTGTGGGGAAGCCCAGGCCCTCTAGATGCTGCTGGACTTCATCTCCCACCTTCCCTGACCATTGGCCATCCTGGCAGAGGCTGATGGGAGCTGGAGGAGGGCTACAGGTTAGCGCCCAGAATATAAGGTAGAGATAAGTATCACCAGCTTCTAGACAACTCTTCTATGCCAACTCTTGTTAAAGGTACAGGTCTACTTTGCATCCAATCATCTCATTTATTTCATCAACCATAAGGAGGTTTGCTCATCTCTCCTCAAAGCTGTGGGGAAATGCTGAGAGGAACCTTGGCTTCAGAGCTCCACTTCCTGCTTGCCCAAAGCTCTTCAAGCCTTGTCGCTTCTCCCTCCTGCTGCCTTCGTGCCCTTAACCAATACTCACTTTCTGCATAGATCTGGCAAATGCCAAGCTGTCCTTCTGGGCTTGGGCTGGCTTTGTGTTTCCCTCCAGGCAAGCAGCGATCCTCCATGCCTGTAGCACTGGTCCATGACACGACCAGTGCCCAAGCTATACCCATTATCCAGAAAGTGCCACCACCGCTGCTCATCATGACTACCTGAAAAAAGAGGAAGGGGAAGGATTACTAAATCAGTTTGGATAGCATAGCTTCACTGCTGCCTTGAAGCATGCCAGTTACGGTAGATTACACAAAATGGACTCCCACTTAGTCCTAGCTCCCCTCTCCCCAGTGTGTTCCTATGCACAGCATGCTTTCATCTCTGTTCCATTCCAACAACGTTCTTATTTCTCTCCCCGTCTACTTTGATAATCCACTGTAGAGTTGGACCCTTCCCTTTGTTCATTGTTTGACTCCAGAGTGAGGGGGAAATGTCCAGCAGCTGCTGTTATCTCCCCATCACCACAGGTAATTCAATGCAAGCCAGCTGCAGGCAGCTCTTCCAACACCTCGGTTTAGGACCAACTCTAGCCTGAGAAACACAAGCAGCTCCTACGCTCCCTGATTAAATTTAGGGCTTCATTCATGAAACCAGTGCTATTTTTCTAGAAAAAGAGGTGCCGGAACTCACCATGAATGCCTCCTTTGTTCTCTTATAATGCAATGGTGCCCACCTGAGAGGTGCTGGAACTGAGTTCCAGTGAGTTCCAGCTGAAACTTCCCCCCTCCACATGAAACAGGAATTGATTGATCCATGTCAATTATGTAACAATTTGCAAATCTGTATACCAATCTTCCTATTTATAACCAAGAAGAGTACTGGGGGCAGGGGGAGTTAGAATGCACCTGCAGACAGGTAAGATTTGTATTATAAGGGTGTCAAAAGTTCTCAGCCAGCCTTTCTCAGTGGCTTAGTCCACAGCAATTACTAGATGACAAATCTCCATACTTAATTGCTGCACACCAAGCCAGTATTTAAGAACCAAGCCTCACAGGAATGTCATGTGTTTAAACAAGCTTAAACTGGCCACTTTGAGGGTATGTTCACATTACCACTGACTCCTGCCCCTAGTTTCCCGAAGCTGTTTTCACATGACGATAGCCACAATCCATATTGATCCTGTAGTTGCTTCACAAACACTGCCGTTTGATACGTTTTCCTCAAACGAACTTTAATCCAAGTAGAAAATGGTAAGCAGTAATGAGAATATACCCTAGCAGCCATCACAAATGTGCAGTTGAATTTCATGAATTGGAGTTTCCTGGGGAGTTACAGGGGCGGGGAAACCAACAAGGCCATGCGTGCTGAGTTAAGACATTTCCATCCCCTTTTGGAGGTGAGCAGAACTGTGTAAATGCAGCTGGGAAATTCAGCAGAAGGTTACCTTGCTGCATTTTAAGCTGCTAATGTGAATATACTGTTAGCTTGGAGAAAAAGCAGCCTTGGGGCCCTGATCCAGGATATTATTCCAATCAGGATATGGTCCCTCTGTGTGTATGTGTGTGTGTGCATGCACATCCACAGAAAACGAAGCCCTCTTGACTCATTTTCAGCAGAAAAGCGCCAGGAGGCCCCAATCTGGATCAGAGAGCACATTCCAGATCAGGACTCCACAGTTGCTTTTTTCTTCAGAATGAGAGTGGGCAACCCTAGCTTTTCACATGACATCTCTTGAACTTTGGCTATTCCACCTCCTGCAGAATGCACTAGACCTTTCCATTCCCATGGAGGATTCTGTGCAGCTCAGAACCTTGAATGCTCCAACACCAGCAAGAACAAAAAGGTCATTAGCAGCTCAGCAGAGAGAGATAGAGAGGGAAGGTTGGAAAGAACTAGGGTAACTCAATAAGCTTGGCACTAATTGTGAGCATCAGTGAGGCCTGGCTACCCTACATCACCACTGTGGAACCAGCCTGGCTGGCTGCCTGGAACTGGTACAGTAATCTAGACAAAGGGTAGGTGGGTAGATAAGTATATAGAAGCTTATAGAAGCTAGGTCAGATTGCTTTATAGGCTAGTCCAGCCTTACCCCATCTGGTGTCCTCCAGTTGATGTTGGACGACAATCCCCATCATCCCTGTCCATTGACCATGCTGGCTGGGGATTATGGGAGTTGGAGTCCAAAAAAAATCTGGAGGTTACCAGGTTGAGGGAAGGCTGTATTACAGACTAAGAAAAAGTGACGGGGTTGAAAGGAAGATGCTTTAATGGTTGGTAGAATGAGCACATCAGTCCTGGCTCCTAGCTTCCTGCATAGTCTGGGGTGGGTAGGTGGGTATTTAGTAAGCTGGCCAGAGTTGCTGGGGCAACCCAACCAGGTGGACAGGGTATAAATAAAAAGTTGTTGTTGTTGTTGTCCTTCAGATTTGGCTTAAAAAACAAACCTTCCAGACCCCTCCCTCAAATCTCTCTCGTGCTTCCTACAGTCCCAGCATTGCAGCCACTAGGGGGGGGGGAGTTTAATCCCCTCTAAACAATATGAATGGAGAGCCTTATTTTTTATTGTAAATTGTGGGTGCAAAGAATCCTGGCAGTGCAAGGGAAGATATTGGATTTCTATTAGAGAAGGAAATGCTGGAGAGTGAAATACGTTCGATCCAGGCACACGGCTGCCTTCACTGCTGTGCCTTTGAGCAAAATGTACCAGAGGGCAAAATCTCACCATAGAAAGTACTTTCAGGGCAAGGTGACACCCCTCCTTTTCCTTTGCTGTGTCTAATTTCAGTGAGGTGGCCTCCTTTGCAACAATATGAAGCAAGATGCAGGACTAAATCATTTGGTCCCTTGAGGAGGGAGTCACCTTGGGTCCTGGGAGGCAGGTAGCCAAGTGAAATTTGACAGCAGACCTTCCTCTCAAAATCAATTTGGGACCAATCAATGGAGCTATGCTCCTTAATGCCTCTAGTCTGGGCCAGGTAAAGTCTTCCCTCATGCATTCTGGTTTCTGAGGGGTGGGGAAATCCCATTTATATAGAAGGGTAAAGAGAAAAGGCCCAGTCGTTATGTAACATGGTCTCTAGGACTAAAGTCACTTTATTCTCTCAGGCTTGTAAGCCGAAACCAATATCAAATCTTAGTTATCACCCAATATTCTTCAAACTCTGATTTTGCTTTACTCTGCAGTTTTACTTAACCTTTTTTGTTTTTAAAATGTTTATATTTAGTTAGCTACTTAGTTTCAAAACTCACAGTAATGCAAAACAAATAATAAGGAATATTAATAAGTAAACAAAATGAACACAGAACCCCACTCCCCAGCAGTGGCGTAGTGTGGGGGCTGCAGGGGGGCCCGGCCGCACCAGGCGCAACATTTGGGGTTAGAGCAAATCCATGGGTTAGGGGGCGCAAATCCACGGGTTAGGGGGCGCAAATTACTTGCCTTGCCCCGGGTGCTGACAACCCACGCTACGCCACTGCTCCCCAGGTAAGTGTCTTTTTTGTACCTTCTTCTGCACAAAACGGTCAACTGAATCAATGTTCCCGTTTTATGTTATCCTAGCAGGCCTGTCCCAATAGCTGGAGGCTGCAGGGTGTATTCTCTTCTCCTTGCCTGCAGATCAGATAAACCATTGCCCCAGTTCACACAGTCAATATTTCCCCCAACAGAGTGGCTCCATCAGTGTAGGAAGAAGTCTCACCTGTGTCCAAATGTGGTGAGCACCTGTACAATTTTTCCATTTTCTTTTTTATGGGGGAGAATTCCTGACATGCAAAGGTCATATTCCCAGAAAAAAAACTAGTCAAAACAGTGTTGTATTAAACTCTGCACATATTCCTTCAAGCCCCTCCGGATTACCCTCTGGATAATGTTGGACTACAACTCCCATCATCCCTGACTGTTGGCCATGCTGGCTGGAACTGATAGGAATTAGAGTCCAACATTATCTAGAGGGTAACACATACCCCGTCCCTGCCCTAAAAAACCCCACAAAGTGCCAATCAAGCAGAATTTAAAATCTTGTTCATCTGGAAAGGTTCAGCTGTAGTTCTAATAAGAAAACATTTCACTCAGATTTCAGCCGGAACTCATTGGAACCGAGTTAATGTTATTTTGCGGTGGCAAAATAAAAGAAGCTACGTATACTCCTTAGTGCCACACTACAAAGGCTAATTAGTGTTAATGAAGCATTTCGGATCAGCTGGAAGCAGATCCACCTCAGGGTTCCACACAGCACTCATAATCAAGCGCCATATCACCCCTCATCCTGCAATGCCCATTCCCATAACAAAGGCAAAAGTGGGCAGCGTGTTACTGCACCAACCACTGGAAGAATCAAGCAAAAATTGAACAAGAAAGTGTGAACATTTTCTCAATAATGTGTTTTATTAGTGCACTGGCACTTTAGCACAAAAAAGACGCTTTTAACAAAATGAAGAAAAAGTCAAATGCAAGCTGTGGAAAAGGAATGGGAAGAAGAAATTGTATTGCAAAATATGAAACGGTGGCAGATTAATATCTCTGTTTAAGCAAAAAACACCACTGATAAGCTGTTTGGCAGGGATGGGAGAGGAGTGTGGGAGGAGGGCAAATCGCATTATCTGTTCTCTTTCCCAAGCAGATAACTGTGGAATGTTAACTTTTGCAAAAGTGCTCTGTGGGGGCAAGACTAGCAATGGTCGTGGTTCTGCTGGGTATGTAAGACAAGTAACGTAGGAAGGTTTCACCAGCGGTCTCATCCTGACTACAGCTTCCACAAGGTTCATCCATAATATCTTGCACCGTAATATCTTGCAAGTTCGCATTTGAAAGTCCGGAGCTGAAATTGCATTGGAATTTGTTAGGAGTGGGGTGCACCTGGGGGGGGGCAATAACACAAAGAAGATGGGAGAAGGCCTGGAACACAACAGTCTGGCAGCAACGTCATCTGGATTCTGTGTAATAACTAAGAAAATACGTGATGTCAATTTCAGAGAAAATGCTTTAGTATGGAACCACCTCAGATGAACTTGGTAGCTTCAAAGAGAGCTTTGTTCATTCCTTGCAGATTGTATTTATAGTGCCCATTCATCTCCCTGCTCAGAGCCTGCCCGATGAGCCTCGCTCCGTAAAATACAAATTAACAACACCTGTAATGTGCAATATTTATTTTGTTTAGCAGGTCATCGATTTGAAGGTACTTATTTCATGTCTATGTCAACATTGTGTCCATTGGCTCAAAGTCTCTGCCTTTCTCAAGCTACATTCTAGAAACCCCAGCCCAATTTTGCATTAGACTCCTGAACACTTAGTGAATCCTTCAACATAAAGGTCTCACCCGGTGTTAATTGACTGACATTGAACGATGCCTTTCAGATGGCCTCACTCTGTTTTATCCTTGTGATTCTCTGGCTAGCTGCCTGGAAAATACTGGTGGCCTCAATCCCAGCAGATTAGGGACAAGCCCCAAAGAAAGTGGCTTCCTGTCCTTCCCTCCCTGCCATAATTAGTTCTAGTCTGTAGAGCAGAAGAATGCAACTGCTATGTATAAAATCACCCAGTACACACATCTCAAGAATAATAGCACGAGACCCTTGGTTGGTGGTGCTGATTACGCCAGAGTTGCAGGTTCGATCCCCATATGGGAGAGTTGCATATTCCTGCTTTGCAGAAGGTTGGTCTAGGCAGGGCCGAATTTAGGTTTGATGAGGCCCTAAGCTACTGAAGGTAACGGGGCCCTTTATATGTCCAGCTGTCCTTTATCAACAATAAATAGTTGCTGCTTTTTGTGTTGAATACATGCTATATGGAAATTTATCGACCTAATAGGTATCTAAAGCCATTTGCACATAACAAAATATGTATTTTATCAAAGTAATTGTTGAATTTATCTTATATTTTGGAAATGTACATCCAGTTTTTTTCCTTTAAATCCCCCCCCAAGAGAGTGGGGTTCCAAGCTATAGCTTGTTTAGCTTATATGTAAATCCGGCACTAGGTTGAGATGATCCTCAGGGTCCCTTCCAACTCTCCAATCCTATGAGTCTAAAATTCTTCTCTTTATGGAGTGTCCTGGGAACAAATTACCACTAGCCTTTTACAAAACAAAATTAACTGGACCTCAGTGAGTTCTATCCACAGCTTTGGAAAGTAGCAGACAGGGCTTAACTTCAGCGGAGACTCAACTCCAGAACCCATTTTTAGTATCAGAATACAGCCCTGGCTTTCCTGCATATTGGGTAACCAGAAGAATTCCATAAATATTTAGGATTATGGAGCAGGCTTTCAGACTTGACTCTCAACTGCCTTCATCCCAGCATAAAATACAGTATTTTTTTAAGGGTATGATGTTTTATTCTCACTCAAGACAGCTTCACATGTGTATACTCAGTAAAACTATACAAAATGTGACTGCAGTACATACCCTTTCAAATTGTATGTATCAATGCATCAGGAAACCACAGCTCTGTTCCTGTATATGTACTGGTAAATATTCGTGTGTGGTACATAGAAAATAACTCAAAGGGACATACTTCTGTGTAGACAAAAAATGGCTTGCCTTGTGAGTGAACCAACTGTTTGTAAGAATATGTGAATATGCAGAATGAATTCAGAACTCAATGCTACTTGAAAAAGCTTGCACACTACTGACATGATCAGAAGTTGATCCAATAAAATGAAATTGTGCTGATTCTAACAGAAAGCAAGATGTCCCACAAAGAAAATTCCACAATCCATATTAGGGCAATGCCTTTATTAGGTCAACCAAGGTGTGGCAGAATAGTATGCAAACTCTTGAATTCTCCAGAACTCCTGATCAGGCTTGATGGTAAATACAGAAGGGAGTGAAAAATGACTAGTGGAGAAGAAGCCATGGATTTGCATCTAGCTTAAGACACTTCACCAACAGCCATTTCTTCTCCCTCTTCCCCTCATTTGCTTTGCTTACCATCTTCTAGCCCGATGAGAAATTCTGCAGAACTTGAAAGTTTGCACACTATTTTCTGGCATTTTGGTTGGCTAAATAAAGGTACTGGCCCAGTGGCGTAGCGTGGGTTGTCAGCACCCGGGGCAAGGCAAGTAATTTGCGCCCCCTAACCCGTGGATTTGCGCCCCCTAACCTGTGGATTTGCCCTAACCCCAGATGTTGCGCCCGGTGTGGCCGGCCCCCCCTGCACCCCCCACGCTACGCCACTGTACTGGCCAAATATGTATTGCAGAATTCTCCTTGTTACTCTTATTCTTTGCAACTAAAAACAGGGAGACACCTGTCCATCTGTATCTTGTGATTATGCAGTTCGACGAAATGGTTCAAATACTGAGCACATTCCAAGAGTCTGTCTTCAGGTGGCTAGGTATCGGAGTGACAGCAGGCACCCAGTGTGTTGAAGGAGGAGCCAGGTCACCAAAGAGTTAATTTTTACGTATGCCCCAACCCCTCCAGAACCTCTCTTCTCAATTCACAGAATTGCAGAAGCATCCTCTTTTATCCAACCCTAGTATATTTCCACAAGAGCAATAAAGGAGAGTTTTGAGGGGTAAAGCTAATACAAAGCTAGGCTTAAAAAGGTGCAGACCTCAATTTACAATAGCAAGGTGATTCTTTTCAATTAATTGGTTGCTCAAGAGGTGTCTACTCAGTTAAGCTAATCAATTCGCTAAAAGCTGCAAATACCCCACTTTAGTAGTACTCTATATGCCAAATGATGGAACTACTGCACAACAGCATTCACACGTTACAAATACTAGCGAATCTCTTTCTGTGTGTCTTTTCCTATTGAAGGACTATTACACCCATGAGCACCCCTCCTAACCTTGGCTACAATTGCCATAAAGGAAAACCGTGGACTCTGGGACGCCGTTCTTTCCCCCAGTCCCGCTACCCAAAATGCGAACAAGTTGAACCGGAGCTCGGTAGAGTTAAAAGCAAGACGCCTGGTACGCAACGACGAAAAGCAAAAACAAGAGCTTCTCGTTTTCTGTCCCCTGAAATCCCTCACGTCTCCTGAGGCTAACAGAGGAAATATCCCGTCCTTCTACTCCGGAATAATGACCGCGGAAGAAGATGCACCCGTTTCCATCCTCACAACCCCCAAACACCAATTAACCCTCTCCCCTCCGCTGCGTTGCAATCACAAACAGTATTAAAGGCGCGGTAGTGAAATCAATTTAATTCACCCGGATTGCAAGGGAGTATAAGACTGAAGCGCGTCGGGAGGTTCCTTACTCCGAGATAGAAGCGATTCTTTATTGCCCCGAGGGTGTCCCGAGGCGCCCACCCACGATCGCCTTGTTTTGTCTGCAAGAAGACGCGTGGCCGGGGCCACTGCCTCTGACCCGCTTTTCACCCCGCGCCTCCGAGCATCCCGCCTGCAGACAGGCTGCAGCCGCAGCAACATTGCTGTGCACGGCCGGGGAAGACGCCTACCTGCAAGCGGCGAGGCTGCAGTCGACAGAGGCGTTGCAGGACGAGGGCTGTCCGGATCGGCTACTCTGGCGGCTTCAGGCAAGCGTGCCCGATCCCGGATCGGGAGGACTCTGGGGCGAGCTGGCGGCGCAGTCGCTGTCTTCACCACGCGCTGCTCCGGAGGAATGGAGCTGAAGAGTCCTGCCTCCTCTTGCCGCTGCTGCTGCTGCAGCAAATAACGCGGGTCCTCTCGCTCGCTCTCTTCCCCCACCCCTCCCCAAGGTGCGCAGGACGCCAGCCAGCCCTCGGGTCTGCTGGGGGGGGGGGAAGAGCGGGACCGCCCAGAGGGAGATGCGGGAGGAGAGCGGGGCCAGCCGGGCAAGGGGGTCGCCTGCTCTCCCGGCCACTGCTGCAGAGGCTTAGGTCGCATTTGCAGCGCATCAGAGGAAGGTGCAAGGCGCTGTACGGGGAAAGCAACCGGCCGTCTAGCCGCACTGAGCGGCTAGGCACGGGGCAGGGCAAACTGATGGTGACTTTCCCTGTGGGATGCTTAGAAGACCCACAGTTCGTGCCTTCTCCCCAACACGCTCACAAACAGGCCAGGGAAGAGATAACCGGTCCTTGTGATTTGCTTCCAGCTTCTGCTCAAGAGCGGCATACTATTCCCGAATAGAGGCTCAGTTTAGAGACTGAGAATTGCGTTCCATAAATTTGTCTAATACGGTTTTGTTTTGTTTTTTAATTCATGGTGGTCATCAGAACATGTCCTGGAAATGCGTTCCACATGAGTGCTAATTATGTAGTGTGGAAGTATTTCAGGTTCCCATTCATCTGTATTTACTGCCATTCAGTTCCACTGGATTACTGGAGAGAGAGGAAGGAAGGAAGGGCTTTGCTACTCTACAAGACACTCCTCTCCACAGTGGAGATTCTCAGACTCAGTTTTTCTCAGCTTTGGGACATAAATTCAGTTGTTATTGGAAAGTGAGAAATGCATGAAAGTGGGTCAAAGTAAACCCACTTGCTCAGTCAGCAGTATATTTATTGAAAATAATAAGCCTTCACTATGTGATTGATTTCTAAAAGGAGTGACACACAGCTGAAGCCTACAAGGAAATCCTGCCCTGCCCTAAGGCTAGGAAGCTACCTTTCTGAGTCACAAATATGTATGCCCTGAGTAACCTAGTCCCTGGTTACTCAGCAGGGACGTGGGTGGCGCTGTGGTCTAAACCACTGAGCCTCTTGGGCTTGCTGGTCGGAAGATCAGCAGTTCAAATCAGCCTGATGGAGTGAGCTCCTGTTGCTCTGTCCAAGTTTCTGCCAACCTAGCAGTTCGAAAGCATACCAGTGCAAGTAGAAAAATAGGTACTGCTGTGGCAGGAAGGTAAACACCGTTTCCATGCGCTCTGGCTTCCATCACAGTGTCCCGTTGTGCCAGAAATGGTTTAGTTATGCTGGCCACATGACCTGGAAAGCTGTCTGTGGACAAACGCCCCTCCCTCGGCCTGAAAGCGAGATGTCCCACAAATAACCCAGAGATGCATTTTAAATAAAAGGGCACATTCTACTCATGTAAAAACACACTGATTCCTGGACCGTCCACGGGCCGGATTGAGAAGGCGATTGGGCCGCATCTGGCCCCCTGGCCTTAGTTTGCCTATTCCTGGTCTACACTGACCAGCAACAGCTCTCTGGGGTTTCAGGCAAGAGTCTCTCTCAGTCCTATCTGAAGGTGCCAAAGACTAAACCTGGGGCTCTCTGTAGAAAGCACAGTGCTGGACTACATGAAGCATTAACCTGATCCAGTAGGGCTTTTATATTCAAATTCGCAGGATGTGTCTACTATGAACTCTAAGGTGGTGATTCTGAGCTGTGTAAGGACTCACGGATCCTTGGAATTTTATGTGGATGAGTTGTGTTTTCAAGCTGCTGGCAGTGGGAGCTGAAGTCTGGCAGAAGAAACTAGGAGTAACAAAACACAACATAGTGTTTTTTAAAAAGACAGAAGGCGATGGGCAGTGAAAGTCCCACCTCTAACAAGGCTTATTGTGTGGCCTTGGACACCGATATTTGCTTTGTTTCATTTATCCTTCTATAAAATGTTAGCAACGGTGGTCTGCCTCACAGAGTTGATGTGAAACACAATAAAGATGGAAAATATTTTTTAAACTCTACTATATAGTTTGGAAAGTTGTTTGTGCACATTTGGAGCCCTCTTAAGATATTGGAACCACATTTTGCATGACAGTTCCTGAGGTCAAAGGGACGTGGGTGGTGCTGTGATCTAAACCACAGAGCCTAGGGCTTGCCAATCAGAAGGTCGGCGGTTCGAATCCCTGCGTTGCTCGGTCCCTGCTCCTGCCAACCTAGCAGTTTGAAAGCACGTCAAAGTGCAAGTAGATAAATAGGTACCACTCCAGCGGGAAGGTAAACTGCATTTCCGTGCGCTGCTCTGGTTGGCCACATGACCTGGAAACTGTACGCCAGCTGCCTCGGCCAGTAAAGTGAGATGAGCGCCGCAATCCCAGAGTTGTCCACGCCTGGACCTAATGGTCAGGGGTCCCTTTACCTTTACTATATAGCTTTGACTATATAGTCAAAGAGCAGGTTCTCATCTATTTTTGGATAAAATTGGATGCCATTTTTGAATCAAGATGCCAGACTGAACCTTTCAAAACCGCACTAATTTTAACTGCTGTTTTCAAAACTGCACTGATTTCTGAGTTTCCTTAGAATTCCTGAGCAGTACTGTCCTGCATACGAGGCTGCTAGTGTAATATAAATAGTAAGGATATTTTTAAACTATCAAATTCTATTGATTGGCCACACTGGAGGCCTGGTTCTGTTCTATTCTGAGGCTCCTAATGGAGTGACCATCCTTAAATTTGCTTCCTCTCTTTGCAATTTATTATGGAGTGAAGCCATCCCTGCTCTCTCTCGCTCCATCTTTAGAGGAAGTCCACTGTATTGCTTCCTCCTCGGTGCCAGAGAGGTGATGGCATCTGAGTCTGATTTGCAAAGAGTGTTTGTTCCTGGGGCCAAGGAATCAACAATGATAAAACAACAATAATAACAACATCCCTCAAACAAAAGACATAAAGATGCAAACAGACCCTTCCCTCCTCTACTCCACGTGCAAAACCTGCCTTAAGCCAAACCAAGCAGTCTTCTAAAAATAACCATTGCATAAAGCGCAGTAGTTTCTTATTGCATTGTTGAGCTGTGCAGATAAAAACAGCAAGGACTGCATGTCTTTAGAAAATGCAGAAGCGATGAACAGGAAGCAAGGACCATGTTCTGTTTTCATCCTTTCAGTCCTTCAGAGGCAAGAAAAGGGAGGTGGTTATAATGTGCAACTGAAGAAGGTTGAATTGGTGAGAACTTGAGCCAGTCTTAGTACCTGGGCTTTCTGGATGCATGCCCTCATTCAATCATGATGGAAGGTATTATTTTGGAGAAAGTTTGGAAAAAGGGGTCTGAAACCAGTCCTGATTTGTTTGTCACTTCTTCAGATTCTTAAGTCAGCTAGTTTATGACACCCTTGCATTTCAGCTTCTGTAGTATTACTATTACTTTTTTCCTTTCCTTTCCTTTTTGGTAAAGTCTATTTAGTGTTCTCTCTGAGTTTATTCCATTAAGCTCAAGCATCCAAGGCCATTGGGCTTATGTACATGCAAAGAGCCTTTCTGGACAATTAATCTACATTGAAATGAGTGTGCAGTTGTGTTGCCCATTTTGTGTGTGGATGCCAAATGTTTTCCCGCTGCCTTTCATAAGCACAGGCTGGCTTGAGTGTTGCTTAGAAGGTACAAACAGGTGACAGAATCTAGGTTGGTGTCAATGTGCCAAGAGGGTGAGAGGCCACTATTGGGGCCAGGGAGTTCGCAGAGCACTAGAATTAGCTTGGAATAAAGGATTTGCTCCATAATCCAGCCAATGGCATGATGGGCCTGTTATGTACCTCTTAAGTACATAATTAGTGAAGACGCATGCGAGACTCCTTCGTGTAGGGAGCTGCTCAGTGATACGTTGTAGGCAGGACATGCAGTGGTGACGTAGCAATGTAGATTTTGCAGGTTTAGCTAGAAATTTTGCACTAGAGACTTGTGCTTAGTATTCTGTGCCCACCAGGTAGCTTAGAAGAAAGTTCCTTCCTTCTCTTTTGACCAGATTGGAGCGGGGCACAGAAGGGACAAAGTATATCTCCCTGAAAGAAAAATAACAATCTATTTTAATGACAGGAATCCAGCATTGGGGAGACGCAGGTAGGGGGAAGCTCCTGGTTTGGGTGTTTGTGCCACCTATGCCTTTTGACAAGCTGTACTGTAGGGCAATGTTCTCCCTCTCCCTCCTCCAAAGATGAAACATTATTTATCTTCCTTGCTATTTGACATGTTAATGTTTTGCATGCTACTTGATAGTCCGAGAAAGCAGCTTTTCTATATTTGGGATATCAGAGCAGAAAGTGTCTGATTCAGACTCTCCCCTGTCACATTGATTATTTTGTTTACAATGCTTTAAATAGCTAAACAGGCTGGGGAAGAGACAAGCTTGTTAGCTAAACTGCAGTCCTGGCTAATCCTCACGATGTCCATTACGCTGGCCTCTCTTTCACATACCTTCCCTTCATAGGAGCCAACTCCTAGGGGCTCAGGTCCCTTGGGCCCCCGAATAAAATATTGGAGGGGGCTGCCCCCCAAAGTTGATGGGTATTGCCACTCAAATAATGTGTGTGCTGTGTCTCGTGATTGATTAGGTGGGGTGGGGAATGCTTCCCCCCCAATCAGTGGCGTAGCGTGGGGGGTGCAGGGGGGGGGGCCGGCCGCACCGGGCGCAACATCTGGGGTTAGGGCAAATCCACAGGTTAGGGGGCGCAAATCCACGGGTTAGGGGGCGCAAATTACTTGCCTTGTCCCGGGTGCTGACAACCCACGCTACGCCACTGCCCCCAATATTTTATTCAAGTTGGCACCCCTGCAGGTGTGAGAAGCACCTGAAAAAAATGGACCCCCTTTCTGGGAGAACTGGGATCAGAATAGTGGAAATGCATACTCTTTTTTTCTTTGGCACTATCCATGCCTTAAATCAGAAGTGGGAACCATTTTCAACCATGGGCTGCATATTTCAGGGTTGTGGGTTTGAGCCCCACGTTAGGCAAAAGATTCCTGCATTGCAGGGGGTTGGGCTAGATGACCATAGCTGTCAACTTTTCCCTTTTCTTGCGAGGAATCCTATTCAGAATAAGGGAATTTCCCTTAAAAAAGGGAAACGACAGTTATGTAGATGACCCTTGTGGTCCCTTCCAACTCTGGCCTGTGGAGAAT